GATGAGAGAGAAACATCGATCAGCTGCCTCCTGCACATCTCCTACTGGGGATGTGCCCGCAACCAAGGTACATGCCCTTGACTGGAATCAAACCTGGGACCCTTGAGTCCACAGGCCGACGCTCTATCCACTGAGCCAAACCGGTTTCGGCAGCCTATCAATCTTGGTTCATTTCCTCTACCATTCCAGCTCAGTGACTATTTCAATTCATAAATGTTGTTTCAAGCTCTTCACAGCTCCTCACCCTCAGCAAGCAATCTTGATTTCTTTATGAATGAGTAAACTGAGACTAAGTGGCATGACTCTTTCAATTTCCTCCTTGATACCAACTCATCCGTAGTCATACCATAGTCATACCTTCTTAAAGAAAATGAAAACTTTATCGTCTTACATAAAATGAGTTTATTCCTTGTTCAAGACCAACCTATTTACCTATCCCTGTTGGTATTCCCTTTCTAACTCTTTGGGGTCCTTCTCAACAAAAATATCACTACCATAATCTCTCATGATTAATATGTAGCCAACATCCTATCACCTAATTTCTACTTTCATTTCATATTCAAACTATATATACCACATAATGAAACACTTTTCATCCCCCTGTAATATGCGTTCTACCATCCAAAACTCCTGTGAAATTGCTAGAAGGGTATCCAGGACTTCATTATTGCAAAATTCAATGGACATTTTCCTTTTTCTAGGCCTAATTAATCCTGGATGCTCTCTATTCCTCTGACTTCTGAGATAAATTCTGCTTCTTTGCACACCTTCCTAATCACTCTTTTCTCATTCTATTTGTGGGCTCCTCTTTCTCTGTCTGCCACTTAAATGTTTAATGTTCTCCAAGGTTATTTTCCTAGATTACTGCACCCATTCTGAAATTTAAATTACTACCAGTTTGTTAATGATACTCAACATTTGTAGCCTAGACATTCTGATTTGCATGTTCAGACAGCTCTCTTTCAACGACGCAGCTCAAGTTTAGGACGTCTAAAAATAAATTTACTGTCTTACTACCAAACAGGTAACAATAAATGGTACAGCTATTTATCCAGTTACCAAAATACAGGTCTTGGTTTTATGTCTATCTTTTACCAGAAAATTTAAGAAAGTCTGAAGTGCTTTTTATAAATTGATAAACTTTTATAAAGAGTAAATCCAGCACCTACCTTAAACTTTATTTTTAGCTTTGGTGTTTCTGTAGAGACCTCTACTTTCTGTTCTTCCTGTTCCCCATCAGAATCACTATGTGAATTTGACGATTTGGATTCTTCCAGGGTGCCAAGTGACTTTTCACTGACTTTACTAGAAAGCAGATCGCCCGAGTGTGGAATAAAATCATCAGGTTTTTCCCATCTGGATTCTATCCAACACATTAAAGTAGTCATGTTATTTGGTTACCAATTCAATTCAGAAGTAATTCTCAATATAATGCTTCCCGTCACTTATATTGTTAAATGACAACTCTGCATCTATTTTATACCATCACCGGTCAAGAAAATAATAAATAAGAATTCTGTTAGCTCTTACTCTTGTATCTTTCAGAAATTTATTTCAAACAACCTTGATTCACTAGATGTATCAACTACAGCCCTGATGGAAAGAGGCCTAAGAACTAGAAAATACTTTCTAGGGATTTCCACAATTTAACTGACACTGATTTCAGGAAATGTATGTAATAATGAGCACACATCAGATTTTCTGGAACTTAGTTACCACAAAGATTTCCTAGGATCTTTACAAAGAGAAATCATACTGTAAAAATCTAAATGAATATAATTTGTCATTTTTCTAGTAGGGAAAAAACCTTGATTGAACTCTACTGCCACCTAGTGGCCTATTGGGCTTTTAGTAAAATGATAGCATTTCTAATTATCTTGCAGTCAATCTATATTTTTAGTTTAATAAAAGGGAGAGGGATCCTAAAATTTATTGTCCAATTGGGAGAGCTTTAAGACTGGAAAGGGCTCTATTAATAATCACACTGGTCTAGACATAAACTAAAACTTTTGAGGACAAATCAATACATACAATCCCTTTTTAATATAGGATACTTTCAAGCGCTAATAAAAACATTACTGCCCGGCTGGTGTGGCTCAGTGGTTGAGTCTCGATCTATGAACCAGGAGGTCATGGTTCGATTCCCGGTCAGGGCATATGCCCAGGTTGCGGGCTCCATTCCCAGTGTGGGGCATGCAGGAGGCAGCCGATTGATGTTTCTCTCTCTTTCTCCCCTCCCTTTCTCCCCTCCCTTTCTCTCTGAAATCAATAAAAACATTTTTTTAAAAATTACTTTTTTTTTTGGTCTCTATTTTACATAAATAACGAAAGAATCTTCAGGAAATAAATAATACATAATTTGTATATATATAATAGATACCAGGCACTGTTCTGGGAATTTTATAGACACCTGACTCTCATGACCCCACAGAATAAGTGATTGTCTCTATTTTACTTAAGAGGACCTATAGGCTCAACGACTTGCCCACAATCATATACCTGGTAAGGAAAGAAGTTGTGTGTTAAATTCAGCTCTTACTCTAGAGTTACATTATATATTCCTTAATCTCTATAAAGATTCAGTATCTCAACTTAACTGAGATAGAACCATTGCTATCATTGGGCAGGCTAGGTATCCATTTAAAGGTTAAAAGACCTTTTCTTTTCCTCCTACAAGATTTAATGCTATGCAGAAGGCTTTGGCTAGTATGAATTAAACAAAACACAAACTTGTCAAAGTTACACTGATATTATAGCTATTTTGATATTAACTGCAGAGAAATCAAGTACCATTACTTAAAAGGCAGTTTTATGAAATTAAATTTTTAATTTTAAAAATGTAATAATTAGTTAATAATTAGGCATGTTTTGTAAATACTTATATAACTGGAACATTATTAAACTGATAAAAGTGAAAATTTGACAACCTCAGCCACTGCAAAAACACCATCAGTTTTGTTTTTTGAAAAAGGAAAAGGCAAATTGACTGATCTTTAAGGTACTTTCCAAGGTAATGATTATATTTCTAAAATAATCATAATAAAAATCAGTAATGGTAGAGAAAGTAAAAATGACTCAATTTTTAAAATTTATGAATGCAGTATCAATTGAGAATTACATAGCATAGTGCAGTATATTATATACAGAAATCCTTTTGTTTTTCCATGAGAATTAATGTGTTTTTCTAAATTACAAAAAATAATACGTTTTATAAAAATATGCTTATCACTATATGTACTTAAATTCCCTAGTTTAGATGATTCATTAGCAGGCTAAGAAGCAGTTTCAGGTATAATTTTAGATTCTTAAGATGATCAAAGGTAATACTTACCTCCTGTTTCTGTATTATAATAATAGGTGTAACCATCTTCACTTAAACCTTCTACCCAAACAGCCTTCCCTTCTGTCTAATGAGACGAAAAAAAACAGCATAGATGGAAAACAATGTAGTTATATATTAGATAACTAAGGCAGAATTAGCCACCCTTTCCTTTTCTCTCGAAACCTGGGAGTTAGCGGAGGTGGTACAGATCATGGCCAGAAAGCTTGGTTTATGCTCACCTCTGAAAGCTAGGAACAATTTTTCACAGATGGACAGGGGACATGTGAACGGCAACTAGTAATATTTACCCTGTATGGAGTTTTTGAGAAGACATCACTTTTAACCTCTACCCAGCCTACTAATGAAAGGATTATAGAAGAAAAGGAACAAAGAGTTTGGGGGAGGAGGGGCTTATTTGAAAGTAAATTTGCTTAATAAAACTCTACCAAAACCCCAGAAGCCAATCACTTTAAAGAATAAATCAAAGACACTATTAATGTACTTCAGTTACCTTTTTTAAGTTTCCTTGAAATCCTTCAGGTTTCTCCCATTGAGATGCTTAAAACAAAAATACATTGCATTTATAAAATCCTTTTGCTTTAAAAAAAGTTTCCAAAAAATTCACTTTGGCAAAAATTTACAAGCTATTCAATGTGTACAAAACACTAAGGTCTAGAGATAAAAACATAATTGAAAAATAAAGAGAACCAACATGCATCCAGTAGCATTGTGCAGAACAATACATGTAAATGCTACATGACCAAGGAAGGACAGAATCATTACAAGTTACTGGTACTTCCACAGGAATTATTAGAGCCAGGTAGGGCTTCTCTTAAAAACTTCATGAAATTCAGGCTTGAAAAATCTGGAAGGAATGACATAGCCTTTTGACATCTTTGGAGGGGTGAGTGAGATATAGAACAAATGACTCAAAAGAGGAACAAGATGAAGTATGCAGGAATTAAAAACAAGTATGCCGAGAAAGAGTATATAAAGAAGGATGGTGAAAAAAGGAAGCAAGCAATAGGCACTAGAAGGGAGAAAAGACATAATAGTTTCTATATAAATTTGAAAGACGTATAATCCTTAGCATATAATAATCTATGATTACTGCTAAACTACAACGTGCACTTCACTTACGGCTCAGTGCAAACTGAGTCATTATTACTATTTCTATGTAGTTTGAAACTGATCATGGTTCTAAAGATCATAATACTACTACTACTTATAGCCCAAGGTTTTCTTCATGATTAATTTTCTGATCTCATTTCCTGCCTTCTATTCTTAACTTTTTTTCCCCTGGCTTTCTTCTATCCATCCCTTTAATATATGTACTACCCACCATGTTACCTTTTGTTCTCTTTTTTTTTTTCTTGTGATCTCACATACTCCTAAAAGTTAATGTATTATCTACACTCCCGGACTCAATTTATCTTCCTAACTCCCAACTCTAATTATGAATTAGAGTTGGGAGTTAGGAAAATTGCCACATGAATATTCTATAGATACCTCAACCTCAACATATCCAAATATGAATTAACCACCCCACTTAAACTTACTATGTTTCCATATTTCATATCTCAGTAAAGGGAACCATCATTTTCTGAGTCCTCTATGATATGGCCCAAATCTATTTTTCCAGGCTCTTCTACCATGTCATCTTCAAAGAACCTTATGCTTTACCTCTACCAAATAACTATTTCCCAAACTTTCAAGCCTTCTTTATTTTAAAAATCCTCACCCAAAGGTTTTTTTAATTGAATTTTTAAAGGAGGGAGAAAGAGAAGTAGGGAGAGAAAGAAACATCAATTGGTTGCCTCCTGTACACCCCTGACCAGGGATCGGACTGGAAACTTAGGTATGTGCCCTAAATGGAAGTTGAACCTGCAATCACGTTTGGTTGCAAGGGACAATGCTCCAATCAACTGAGCCACCCGGTCGGGGCTCAAACCTTTATAGAGTCACTAGAGGCCCAATGCACGAAATTCACGCAAGAGGAGGCCTTCGCAGCCCCAGCTTTGTCCGTAAGGTCATTCTGCTGTTCGGCCATTTGGTCAATTTGCATGTTACGCTTTTATTATTATAGATATTGTTCTATCTATGTGGAATACCTGCTGTAGCCTCATAATAAGCTACTGCAATCTTTTTCAATCAAAATACCAATGGAGCCCTAACTGGTTTGGCTCAGTGGATAGAGCGTCAGCTTGTGGACTGAATGGTCCCAGGTTTGATTCCGGTCAAGGGCATGTACCTTGGTTGTGGGCACATCCCCAATATGGGGTGTGCAGGAGGCAGCTGATCGATATTTCTCTCATCGATGTTTCTAACTCTCTATTCCTCTCCCTTCCTCTCTGTAAAGAAAATTCAATAAAATATATTAAAAGCAAATACCAATGGAGTATCTGCACAATACCAGGCACACTGCGTTAAGTGCTAGGAATACAAATGGTATGATGACATCATTCCTGACATCCTCATTTTAACTTGTAGATCAGCTCATAAGTACTTTCAGTGGTAATCTCTCAGATCCACATAATCACAATTAATTCCTATTTTGGCTCCCATATAATCTTAATTACATCTCTCTTACATTATAGCTCTTTAAAATTCTTCCTTGTATCTCACTTAATTGTTTATTTCTGGTACTAAATTTTATGGTTTTGAAGAGTAAATGTATAACAAATTCATTTATTTATGCCAGAATTTACATGGAATAAAAATACCAAATATATTTCATTTTAAAGAAAAAAATAAAAAGATGTTTTTGATAGTTTTATTAAGAAACTAGAGGCCCAGTGCACGAATTCATGCATGGGTGGAGTCCCTCTGGGTGGCCTGCAGGGATTGGGCAGAAACCCGCATTCCAACGCCGCCTACGGCTCCTACCTGCCGCTCCCACTCACCCCGGCCCCACTGTGTCTGCCTCAGGCTTGCACCCAATTAGTCCCATGAGCCCTGTGTCTGGCACCCTCCCAAGGGGAGTGGCCTGCGAGATAGGGCCGGGGAGGGACCATGGGAGGGCTCCAGGGTGTGTCCAGCTCATCTCGCTCAGTCCTGATCAGCTGGACCCCAGATGCTCCTACCGGTTGGAGCATCTGCCCCCTGGTGGTCAGTGCACATCATAGCAACTGGTCGACCAGTTGACTGTCTGCCCCCTGGTGGTCAGTGCACATCACAGTGAGCTGTTGAACAGCCTTAGCATATTAAGTTTGATTGGTTGTTCGGTTGTTCTGCTGTTCGGTCTATTGGCATATTACCCTTTTATTATATAGGATACCATTGTGCATTTTATTAGAAATTGATATCCAAAACATTCATGGGGAGGGGTAATTTACTAAGTCAATCAAGACAGCTACACAAAAAAGAAATCAGTTTCTGGTTCTCAGTATGCTCTTGGATAGAAAATCTCCTCCGCAGAATAAAACTCCTGCAATTTGTGAAGTGGATCTGAAATACCTTTATTCCACATAAAATGCTTTATTTACATGTAGCTCATTGTTTTAGAAGGTTCTATTGAAAAAATATAAAGCTTTAGTTTATTTGTAAGGAACCCAATATTAAGGCTTTAACTAACTAAGACACTGAGTCACTCTGAGAAGGGTACCTTTTTAAAGGGCACATAATTTTTTTACTATTTAGTGGCAAAAATGTATAGTTATAGTATTTCACTGTTTAAATATTCCAATATTAACTAGATGTCTAAAGACAAAATAAACTGTCAATTATCAATCTCCGCAGCTCTATGAACACGTGACTTACCTCCAGTGATAAGATCATAATAGTAATGGTAACCTTCAGAGGTTATGCCTTCTACCCATCTGCCCTTTGAAGGGTCTTTTTTCTTTTTCTTCTTTTCTTTCTGCTGATTTGATGCAGAGATGGGTGGGACAGTGCTGGTTTTTGGTGATATGCTTGGCTCTGAAATTTCTAGAGGAAAGATGAGAGAAGGGTGAAGTAGACAATAAAACCCCCCCACCCCCGATAAAACATAAATAATATTAAAATAAAAAACCTGCTAAGATTCTTTTGGGAACTTGACATATCATTATAAAGCTTATATGGAAAACTAAACATGCACCAATATCCAGGGGAATTACAAAATAGAAGTGAAAGAGGAATCTAGTACTATCAGGTATTAAAATTTATTCTAAAACTATGGTAAAAAAGATAGTATAGCCGAAACCGGTTTGGCTCAGTGGATAGAGCGTCGGCCTGCGGACTGAAAGGTCCCAGGTTCGATTCCGGTCAAGGGCATGT